CATTTTTACGTTTTGGGTATGAAGTTTCTTTGAAAACTTTAGACCAAGGTGCCTATGGAATTTCCACCACATTTCAAAAATTAGCAAAGCAAATAAGTAGACTTCAAAGTGGCTTTGTGTACCATTATACTTTTGTTGTTGTTGCTGTTGTTGTTGTTGTTGTTGTTGTTGTTGTTGTTGTTGTTGTTGTTCTTCTTCTTCTTCTTCTTCTTCTTCTTCTTCTTCTTCTTCTTCTTCTTCTTCTTCTTCTTCTTCTTCTTGTTGTTGTTGTTCTTCTTCTTCTTCTTCTTCTTCTTCTTCTTCTTCTTCTTCTTCTTCTTCTTCTTCTTCTTCTTCTCCTCCTCATCCTTCTCCTCCTTCTTGTTGTGGTTGTTGTTGTTGTTGTTGTTGTGCAGGTCGACAGCGTGGAGCACGGCTATGGCGCCCAGGTACCAGTGTGGAGCACGGCTATGGCGCCCAGGTAAGTACCGCTGACGCAGGTATGGCCTCCGCCCCTCTTCTTCTTCTTCTTCTCCTCCTCCTCCTCCTCCTTCTTCTTCCCCTTCCCCTTCCCCTTCCCCTTCCCCTTCTCCTTCCCCTTCCACTTCTTCTTCTGGTTGTGGTTGTGGTTGTTGTTGTTGTCGTTGTTGTTGTTGTGCAGGTCGACAGCGTGAAGAATCGCTATGGCATTGAGGTACCAGAGTGGAGCACGGCTATGGCGCCCAGTTAAGTACCCTTCTTCTTCTTCTTTTTCTTCTTCTTCTTCTTCGTCTACTCCTTCTTCTTCTTCTTCTTCTTGTGGATGTTGTTGTTGTTGTTGTGCTGGTCGCCAGTGTTGAGCATGGCTATTGCGCCCAGTTAAGTACCACTCATGCATGTATGTGTTGTTGTGGTTGTTGTTGTGCAGGTCGCCAGTGTGGAGCACGGCTATGGCGCCCAGTTAAGTACCGCTCACGCAGGTATGGCGTCCGCCCCTCTTCTTCTTCGTTGTTGTTGTTGTTGTGCAGGTCGCTAGTGTGGAGCACGGCTATGGCGCCCAGTTATGTACCGCTGACGCAGGTATGTGTTGTTGTTGTTGTCGTTGTTGTGCAGTTCGCCAGTGTGGAGCACGGCTATGGTGCCCAGTTATGTACCACTGACACAGGTATGGCCTCCGCCCTTCTTCTTCTTCTTCTTCTTCTTTGTTGTTGTTGTTCTTGTGCACGTCGCCAGTTTGGAGCACGGGTATGGCGCCCAGTTAAGTACCGCTGACGCAGGTATGTGTTGTTGTTGTTGTTGTTGTTGCTGTGCAGGTGGCCAGTGTGGAGCACAGCTATGGCGCCCAGTTAAGTACCGCTGACGCAGGTATGGCCTCCGCCCCTCTTCGTCTTCTTCTTCTTCTTCTGCTGCTGCTGCTTCTTCTTCTTCTGCTGCTTCTTCTTCTT